TGGTGAGATTCCTTCCCCTCTAGCCAGCCTTAGGAATAGTGTAGTCTATGCGTGTGAGTTCAATCGTCCACACGGGATGCGTGCGCCGATGTGGGTCGGCGCGAAGGCGTGTCTGCGTGATGGATCGTTGGATTTCCTAGAGCTAGCCTTTAGGTTATGACTTTCTATGTGTGACCAAATACCCCTCGTAGAGCCGAGTGTCTCCCCTCTTGTTGTGAACCTTAGCACAAGTCCCGATGGGTCGGAGTCCATCACTCCCCTTACTTTGGATTCCCCAACTTTACTTAGAGAAGTTGGGAGGTCGAACTTGGCAAAGGGAGAGAAGCTTTGTACCTGGCTCTCTTTGCAAAGTTTGAAGGAGTTCGCAAAAATAGGAAAAGCTTTGTAGTTATCCTATGTCTTTGGAGGAGTTCGCGAAATGGTAAAAGCTTTGTAGCTAGTACATTTTGCGTCGTCGTGGAGAGTTTTCCCCTCGGTGATCCGGGGAGAGACTCCCCACATTTCCTCACCAAAGCAAGAGGCGGCGGTGCCGCACATCCAATGGTCTAAACCTTAAGTCTCCAGGTGAGGTCGTTAGCACGAGCCCGGTTTGCTAGATGCATGTTGGTTTGCTATTTCTCTATATATTGCATTTTTTTCTTGATGCATGTTGCATTTCACTTCGCTCCGACTGTACCCTGGGCCAGCGAGCATCTTACTTAGCTCCGACTGGCCACCTCGGGCCCGCGAGACTTTGCCTTGCTCCGACCAGCCGCCCCGGCCCTACGAGCATTTCATTTAGCTCCAAACGGCCGCCTCGACCCGGTGAGCCTCTCACTTTGCTCCGACCAGTCGCCCCGGCCCAGTGAGCATTTCACTTCGCTCCGATAGGCCCTCCGGCTCGGTGAGCGTATCACTTTGGTTTGACCGACCACCATGGCCCGATCGACCGATCACCTTCATTTTTCTCTGATTTTGCATTATATCACATGCTTTCTTGCTTGCATGTCGCACCATATGTGTTTGCATTTGTATTTGCATTTGCATTTGCACTTGGGTGATTCTCCCTAGTGAGAATCACCATTGTCTCCGGGTCACTGCCACCTCGATACACCTTTCTTCGGGTCACTGCTTCCACGGCACACCCATCTTTCCGGCCCCTGTCGCTACGACACGCCTATCACTTTTGGTCACTGCCACCTCGGTACACATTTCTTCCGGTCACTGCCTCCAAGGCACACCCATCTTTCGGGCCCCTGTCGCCACAACACGCCCATCACTTTTGGTCACTGTTGCTACAGTACACCTTTTTTCGGGCCACAGCCTCCACGGCACGCCCATCCCTTTTGGTCACTGTCGC